TGGAAAATAAATAGGACTTATGATGGTATAACCTCTGTCCAGGATCAAAATTGTAGGTTCCCCCTTCCCCTGCCCACCCCCTGGTGACATCAAAAGTCACCAAAAAAAGCCCCAAACCCATGCACAGCTCAGGGTGGGCGTTCCCCTCCCCCTGCCCCTCCTCAGTCATACTGCAGCAGGGAGTAGAAAGGGATGGACTTGAGCTTTTCCGACCCTTTCAGGAGCTTTAACTCTATGACCACGAGGCACTCCAGGACTTCAGCCTTCAGCCTCTTCAGCAGCTCGCAGGCTGCACACATGGTACCTGCGGGACACAGAGGTTGAGCAGAAACGGGGTCAACTCGAGGAGCAGCGCCGAGGCAAGCTTCGACCCCCACGGCCGCTCCTGCTGCCACCAACGCGCGGGTACGGGGGTTACACGGGCTCTAACACCGGCCGGTTCTCTCACCTCCAGTCGCAAGCAAGTCATCAACGATAACGACTTTTTGTCCCGGTTCCACAGCGTCACTCTGGATTTCCAGTTCAGCCTGCAGGGTGGAAAGAGCAGCTTCATTGGAGTCTTGCCTTACGGAGAAACACATGACAAACTGCTAACGCATGGTGGAACACAGACAAACCTTCAGCGAGATCAACCTTAACACTCAGCACCTAAAACCCCCCAAAACAGGTACTCCAGCCGCAGGGAAACGCCACGGAAATATATAGCGGGTTAGGTGACTGCCGGGCCAACCCTCTGGCACACCGAGATCCCCAACATTCATCAAGTGAGTTACGGTCCCATCGTGAAACCTTATCCCAGTTCTCCAGCGAGGGAAATCTCCTGTAAGGCACTGGGTTGGAGCGCTGTGCCTTGATGGCCCCGCCGAGCCGGACCCAAACGGTCACAGGCACGTCCTGGGTCAGGTGAGCTCGTCCCACGCAGGGGTTGGCCCGAACAATGCTCAGAAATAACGCCGAGGGTTGGGGGTTTCTGCGGCCGGTGCCGTTAGTGACAGCGGTAGCGTGTTACGAGGCCGACACCTCTGCTCTTGTCGTCTGAGGCCGCGGTGTTACGGGGCGAGCGCGCCGGTTTGAAGCCATGCAAGAAAGTGTTTACTCAGAGCACTTACTGGGAGAGTGGGAAATACACTCCACGTTCGTGCCCCTGAATTCAAGTCAAAGAAAGGGATTTAGCACCAGGTTTTATCACCCCCCCCCCCC